TCTTCTTTGGCTTTGAGAAGGGCATCAGCAGCTTCCTCTACTGCCTTTCCGCCTTCTTCCAACGCACCCTGCACTGTACGCCACTTAGCAGACTTCTTCTTGCCCTCAATCTCAGAAATGTCCATGGCAGCTTTCAGTATGTTGGCGTGCACATTGACAGCCTGGACCGCAGCATTCTGAGCTGAAATAGCCTGCAGAGTGCCACTTGGAGTTTGCCTCAGAGCATCTTCTAAGCTCTTGGCTAGAGACTCAATTTTAACTTGTTCTCGTTTTTCCTGTTGTGCAAGGCAAGCTGCAACTTCTTCAGGTGCTCGTTCCCTTACAGAAGATGAGGATGCTTTTTCTGAAAGTGGAGGGGTGTGGGTTTTCCTTCACCAATTTCAGGGTGATCAGTTTTTAAAGATTCCTCATGCTGAACCCCAGGGACCAACAGCGTATCATCTGCTGTTGCTGAAGCTGGAGTATCTCCCTTTTGCTTTTGGAGTTGTGAGTCAGGCTATTTAGACTTCTTTGTTACTTCCAATACACTAGAGATTTTTGGTGGACCAGACTGAATCAATTTCTTTGGCAATGGAACATTATAAGGTGCGGAACCAAGAACCATCTCGAAGAGTTTGTCTGAGTAAGGTATGGTTTTCTCCACACTTTCCCGGAAATGGGAATCCCATTTGGCATACAGGATAGTGCCATCAATTCCTCCACCAACAAAGAAGAGGCCAGCTCCAGCAATTTTGCCAGTAGTCAACCCAGAGCTGCCTGAAATAGAGTATCTGTGGCATGGTCGCAATGGACAGAGGACAAACTTCCCACAGAGACAACTCTGGGCAGCGGTGGTCACACCTGATAACTGACAGGCCCACAGCATCTCTGTCGAGCAGACGGTGCTGCTGGTGGACGCGGGAGCTGCCACAGCGGCATGAGTAAGTGGAGGCATGTGTGCATATGTCAAGGATGCCTATTTTAATCACTCCTATTGACATGGCTTGGATCTGTGTTCCCACCCAAATCTCATATTTAATTGTAATCCCCAGTGCTGGAGGTGGGGCTGGGTGGGAGGTGATTTGATCATGAGGGCCATTTCTCATGAATGGTTTAGCACTGTCCCTGTTGGAGGTGTTGTCATAATAGTGAGTTCTTGTGAGATCTGGTTGTTTAAAAGTGTGTGGCACCCTGTACCACCCCACACCGCTCCAGACATGTAAAGCATTGGTGCCCCTCTTGCCTTCTGCCATGATTGGAAGCTTCCTGAGGCTGTCCCAGAAGCAGAAGCCTCTATGGTTCCTGTATAGCCTGCAGAACTATGAGCCAGTTAAACCTCTTTTCTTTATAAATTACCCAATCTCAGGTATAGCTTTATAGCAACGTAAGAACGGACTAATACACCTGTTCAACATAGTACCGGAAGCCCAAGCCAGTGCAGTCAGGTAAGAGATAGAAATAAAAGCCATCCCAATTGGAACAGAGGAAGTCAAAGGGTCCCTCTTTGCACATGACATGATTTTATATTTAGGAAAACCTAAAGACTCCACCAAAAATCTCTTAGAACTGATAAACAAATGTAGTAAAGTTGCAGGATACAAAATCAACATATAAAAATCAATAGTGTTTTGATACACCAATAACAAACTAGTTGACAAAGTAAGCAAAAAGGCAATCCATGAAGGCTAAAACAACTCTATCTTGGATGCTAATCTGCCATATGGACTTCTAGTTCACCTGTTCTGGGAAGGCCTCTAAGACTTCCAGTTTAATCTACTGTTCGTTGTATAAGAGCACACACTATAAATCTTGCTTCAAAACAACCTTGATGTTATTGTACTTCAACTGATCTACAGAGCCCTTCTAAATCACGTATGCCCTTTCCTTATGGTATATAAGCCTTGGGTGTGGATGGGGTAATGGCACAGGGATCCGACAACTTATCTTACCACCACCCAAGTCACAGACATGGCTTCTGTTTTAAGTCCTTATTAAATGTTTCTTTCTGAGAAACCGGATCTGTCAGCCTCTTTCTGTGGCCTCTCAGCTTCCTTGAACTTTGGGGGTAGGTTTACACAGACCTGCCCAACATGGAACACAGTCTCATTCACAATAGCTATTTTAAAAATAAAATACCTGGCAATAAATATAACCAAGGATGTGAAAGACCTCTGCAAGGAAAACTACAAAACACTGATAAAATAAATTGAAGAAGACACAAACAAATGGGAAGATATTCCATGTTCATGGATCAGAAGAAATGACATTGTCAGAATGATCATACTACCCAAAGCAATCAACAGACTCAACGCAATCTCTATCAAAATGCCAATGACATGTTTCACAGAAGTAGAAAAAACAGTCCTAAAACTCATATGGAACCAAAAAAAAAACCTGTAGGCATCACACCACTTGACTTCAAAATATATTACAAGGCTAAACAGCATAGTATTGGTATAAAACCAGACACATAGATCAATGGAACAGAATAGAGAACCCAGAAATAAATCCATATATTTACAGCCAATTGATTTTCAACAAAGGTGCCAAGAATGTACAATACAGAAGAAAAAACCTCAATAAATGGTGCTGGGAAAACTGGATAGCCACATGCAGAAGAGTGAAACTGGATCCCTACCTCACATCATATACAGAAATCAACTCAAGATGGATCAAAGCCTTAAACATAAGACTGAAAACCATAAAGCTACCAGAAGAAAACATAAATGAAATGCTCCAGGACATCGGTCTAGGTGAACAGTTTATAGCTCAGACTACAAAAACACAGGCAACAAAAACCAAAATAGACAAATGAGATTATATTAAACTGAAAAGCTCTGCACAGCAAAGGGAACAATCAACAGAGTGAAGAGACAACCTGTTTAATGGGAGAAAATATTTGTAAACTATGCATCTGAAAAGTGACCAATATCCAGAATATGTAAGGAACTCAAACAACTCAACAACAACAACAACAACAAAACAAATAATTCCATTAATAAATGGGCAAAGCACCTGAATAGGCATCTCCCAAAAGAAGACATACAAATGGCCAACAGGTATGCAAAAAAACAAAAAAAAACAAAAAACAAAAAAAACTCAACATCACTAATCATCAGGGAACTGAAGTCAAAACTAGAATGAGTGGCACATACACACCATGGAATACTATGCAGCTATAAAAAAGGATGAGTTTGTGTCCTTTGTAGGGACATGGATACAGCTGGAAACCATCATTCTTAGCAAACTATCGCAAGAACAGAAAACCAAACACCGCATGTTCTCACTCATAGGTGGGAACCGAATAATGAGATCACTTGGACTCAAGAAGGGGGACATCACACACTGGGGCCTATCATGGGGAGGGGGGAGGGGGGAGGGATAGCATTGGGAGTTATACCTGATGTAAATGACGAGTTGATGGGTGCTGACGAGTGAATGGGTGCAGCACACCAACATGGCACAAGTATACATATGTAACAAACCTGCACATTATGCACATGTACCCTAGAACTTAAAGTATAATAATAATTTAAAAAAAAACAAACTAGAATGAGATAGCATCATCTTATTAGAATGGCTAGAATTAGAATGGCTATTATCAAAAAGACAAAAAATAACAGATGCCAGAAAAGATGTGGAGAAAAGGGAACTCATACATCATTTGTGGAAGTGTAAATTAGTACAGCCATTATCTAAAACAGTATAGAGATTTCTCAGAAAACTAAAATAAAACTACCATACTATCCAGCAATCCTGCTACTACTTATTCAAAGGATAGGGAATTGGCGTATCAAAAAGATACCTGCACCCCCATGTTTATTGCAGCACTATTCACAATAGCAAAGATACAGATTCAACCTAAGTGTCTATCAATAAATAAATGAATCAAGATACTGTGGTATATATTCACAATGGAATCTTCTTCGGCCATAAAAAAGAATGAAGTCGTGCCATTTGCAGCAACATGGATGGAACCGAAGGTCACTGGAGACAAATATTACATGTTCTCACTCACATGTGGGAGTTTACAAAGTTGATCTCGTGGAAGTAGAGAGTAGAATGATATCACTAGAGGTGAAGAAGGGTGTGTGTTAGAGGGGAAGTGAGTTTGGTTAATGGGTACAAACATGCAGTTACACAGAAAGAATAAGTTCTAATATTTGATATCAGCATAGGGTGACTACAGTTAACCATGTATTGTATGTCTCACATCAGCTGGAAGAGAGAGTGTAAAATGTTCTCAACACGGAGAAGTGATAGACAAGGTGATGAATATCCTGATTTCATCATTACATATCCTCTGTGTGTAAAGTATCACATATACCCCATAAATACATAAAGATATTATGTATCAATTTTTAAAAAGTGCCATATGTGGACCAGTGATGGGAGTGTGTGCTGCAGAACTAATCCAGTTCTGTAAACCCGAGATCCTCCGCAACCTGGGAACAGGACGTCCACCAACCACATGGGAAAACCTGATCCTCGGTGCTCTGAGGCTTTGGCCATCAGTGGAGGGCTTGCTGGCCTGGAGCAGGAGTGGACAGACAGTAGGGAAGCAAGACCACTCACTCCACCACAGGCGGGTAAGTTACTGCTGTGGCCACTGCACCTGGGCCCCGGGAGTCTTGGGAGAGACTACATGGGCATCTTTAGCCGCGTCCTCCACCCGGGACACCACCTTCTGATGAGGACTGTGTGAAGGGATCACTGAAGAGGGTTTAGCAGCAAATTCTATGTAATCAGCAGACTAGACAGCGGGGAGTATGGAAATAAAAAAGAAACACCAGAAACGCAGAGCTGCATAGGGAAAGCTGGTTTATTTGGCTCTCGTGGGGTCAGAGAATGACTCTGGGATCCCCGGACTTCCCTGGGGGGATGGGCAAGGTCAGCAAGGGCTCCAGATCATTCTGTCATATTCTCGATCCAGAATTCAGAGGGTTCACTGAGCATGCTTTTCACCTGCCCCGTGTGCAGAAGACCGACTGAGGACTCATCCGGGGAGTGTGCAGGTGTGGCCTCATCTGCACTGGGAGCAGCGGGTCTGGAGATTCTTGGTCAGCAGCAGGAAGGGATGCCGCAGGAGATGGGTCTGCAGAGGACGCTGGCGCAGGAGGGCTGGCAGCACCCGGAGGACTGGCAGGAGGGGGCCGCATACACAACGGGCCTGCAGCTCACAGGCACGCACAGGGCGGACTGGCAGGAGGGGGCCGCATACACAATGGGCCTGCAGCTCACAGGCACACACACGGAGGACTGGCAGCTCACAGGCACACACACGGCTGGCTTGCAGCTCACGGGCACACACACAGAAGACTGGCAGCCCACAGGCACGCAGCAGGATGCCTGGCAGGGACTGGACACGCAGCAGGCTGGCTGGCAGCCTGAGGAGCAGCTGGTATGGCACATGGTGGCGTGTGGCTGGATAAGGTCAAGGCAGAAGACAGTGATGTCTGGGGACAGCTTCCCTGGGCAGCCTTTATACCTGGACCCAGGCGTCCCCACAGCACAGAGGCACGCACCTGTTGTCTTCCTTGTTTTTCTTCCTCAAGGCTGTTTTCTGGAACCCAGTTTTCTGTTGTAGATGCTCATATTTTTTATTTGGCCCTTTGTTTCATGACTAATTGCACCTTCTTCAAGCTCTTGTTACATTTGGAACCTGCCCAGATTTATTGGTGATGCGCAGGCAGTTTTAGCTCCACCTGCCTGATATCTGCCTCCCTTCATTCGTTCCACGCTGAAGCAGACATGAGTGGTACCCAGAAAACCTCCTCGAACCACAACTTCTGTTGCATCAACCAGAAACTTTGGGGAAGAGACCAGAACTGAATACAGACAATGTAATCACACTGGGAAACCTGCTGGAGTGAGTGATGCAAAACTGGCTACTCTATCAACCATACAGTTGAGATTTAGGAGACTCTCGTTTTCAGGCAGCAGTTAACCAGCAGTGCAGACTGTGATTCCTGACAGAGAAGAAACTTAGGAGATAAACTCCCACTTCCCAGCTCTCCGCTGGGGCAGGCTTCCAAAATGCAGTGTCACCAGCTGCAGTCTGAGCAAAATACAATGGTCCAACTCTGCCAAGGAGGAAGGGCCAGTGCCCATGCAGTTGAAGCCCTGGAGTCCGAGGAGCAGAGAAGCGGAAAGAAGGGTCCATGTGGAGAGCAGCCCCCACAGTGTGGGAGTTGACTGTGAATCTGTGGGATGGGGCAGGGCTGTGTATTCCCAGGGCAAGGCCACCACAGGCTCACCAGAGAGAAGCTGCTGGAGGATTAAGAGTGAAGCCCCCACTCCAGCCCCCACACCAACATCCAGCCGAGACCCCCTACAGCCTGGCACCAAATGAGTAAGGACCAGACTAGAGTGAGACCCGCCCATATGGTCACATATGGTCTTACGTGACCTAGTCACCAAGTAACCCATTTTAAAGGTTAGTTTTCTTACGAGTCGATTACAGAAGAACAAGGATGCGTCTTTGATATTTACCTGCTCCTTTACCTTCCCCCATGCCCTCTACTCCTTCCTGCAGGTCAGGGCCCACCTGGCCTCGTCCTAGTCAACCTAAAGCACATCCGTGCACGTTGCGTGCATTCTGGCTTGGCGTACACAATGGAGCGATCTGCCAGGCAAATTATGTGCACAGCCATGAAGTATAACCTGGGATTGGACCTGAGAACAGCTGCCTATGTCAATGCCATTGAGAAAGTCTTCAAAGTGTACAATGAAGCTGGTGTGACCTTCACATAGATGGATCGTGGCTGACTTCCTCACTACCCTCTTCACCTGTAACTTCTGCAGACCTATCACAAGTTTACATGTAACCACAGAAATCCCTTTCTCTCCTGACTCAGTAATAATGGATACCATTCTCAACAAGTCATTCCAAATCAGCCCCTGAAGGAAAAAGAAATTAAGGTTAGGGGATCCTGTACAAGCTGAGTGTGAAAGTAGAAATCACCTACACCAGAGAGCCATTTTGGTATTTTGCCTTTAAATGAAAAGTCTCCTCCATCTGGCTGTGCAGCCTTGCTCTGTGGCTTTTCCCATCACAATCAGTGCTATTACTGGGGAAGGGACAGTCAAGAGCAGTCAGTTGCTTATTTTGCTCTGGACGAGTCTGGGACACGCTGTAACTTCAACACATTTAAGAAGTAGGTGTGTGGCCTTTTCAGAAGGTGGCATGGTCCTCTAGTGAGTTCTTAGCATTTTATATCAGCAAAATAACTCAATTTTGCAGGTTGCAAATATAAAAGCTGTTTCTGTTTATGAATTCTATTCTTTTAGAATAAAGTAAGTACATGCTGCTGTAATAACATTGCCTTTAATCACTTAAAAAAAAAAAGGAACATATGGTCACCAAGGCTGCACCAATTCTCTTGGTTTTTAAGTGTGATAATGAACTATAGCAGTGAAAGGAGTTGCTTGTGACAGGACTGAACTTGTGGCCTCACCCGGCTTGTCCCTAGGCCTTAAAGTCACTCCCACCACATGGCCACCGATCAGCTCTGGATCCGTAGACTTGTAAGTTCTGTCCACAGCTGTGAGACCCCACTTGGTCTTCAGCCTGTGAGGGGATTTCATTAACGTGGTGTCTGAGTTGTCCAAAGGCTCTGTGGCAGGAATCACCTGTATCCACCACCAGCAGGCACAGGAGGACCCACACAGGAGCAGAGGGTGCCCCTGGGAGCTGCCTGGGATGGAGGGAGTAGCTCTGCCCTGAGAGACGGCTCATCCCCTACCATGTGACACCACCGTAGAATAAAGCGCTGTGGCCAATCCATCAAGAGAACAGAGCTGGAGTGTGAGGAGGAATGTGCCACCCACAGTCCTGCCCGCTGCTTCCCAAGTGCGGGGGCATCCTGGAATTTCACCCCAGCTCCTCACTTTCCCCCACGCTGCCTCTGCAGAGGTGAGACTGATCAGACCCTCAGCGCGGGAGAGGAACCAGCGTGGGAGAGGAACCAGAGTAGCTCAGACCCCCTCCGTGATGGGTCCTCCTGGGCTCCGTCTGCAGAGGAGGTGGCCTGTGGCCACTAGTGCTTCTCGTGTGAAGTGGGCTCTTCTGAGGTGTGGTGTCAGGAAGCCCACTGTGGTCACACGCCTGAGCCATGCTCTGCAGAGGCCGACGTGGCCGATGTTTTCATCCATCTTCTCCGTCCCAGCTGGTTCAGGACTTCAGGATGAGTCACGTATTGAACCCTGAGCCCAATATAATTTGGCACAGTGGGAACGACCACGGATTCCAGAGTGAAACTAAGCAGTCCAGATGCCTGCGTCTCTGCAGTGGCGCGGACATGCACCCATCATGCAAATGATCTAGGACTTGCATGATCTGTAAAATGGGGTATCGGCCACCCCAAATGCTGGCAAAGATGAATGAGATAACCCCGTAAGATGCCAATCACAGCCTGGCACAGCGCTAGACCTCTGTGCATTATTGTTCCCCCAATAATCATCATTATTATTCCACAATATGGAGCCCAGTAGCTTGGCTCTCGTTACTCGGGAAGACCCTGATGATGACTGAGCTTCTCAGTCGAAACGGGGCCCCTGGTGCAGTGATTGTGACTGTGCTTGTGTTGAGTTCCAGATGGCATTTACAACAGGGGGACCTTGACCATCCATGAGGCGGGCCCCTGGCCTCACTGACAGCCCTTCACCAGCCACCCCCGGCTCTGTTTCCAGGAAACACATGGTCTGCTGAGTTGCGGGAGCCCCCAGCTCAGAGTTTCCTGAACTGAGTAACCTCAACAAGAAAACCCAGAAAGATCAACAGGAGAGGGCAGAGGAGGAGACACCAGGGGGCTTGCTGCCCAGACAACTGTGGCCTGCCCTGGCTCCATGTTGCGTCCCCACCACCTGCTGCCCATCCAGGGCTGTAGGACCTCCTGCTGCCACCTGGCCACCACCACCCCCGCCCCCACCGCGCAGCTCTGCTGTGCCGGCCCCGGTGTGAGGCGTCCACTTCCTGCCAGCTGGCCTGCCACATGCTCAGGTCAGGCCTGTGAGTGGCCGCCTCCTGCCGGTCCTCCAGGTACTGCCAGCCCTCCTGCCCCTTTCCTGGCCTGCAGACCTGTGACCTGCCACACCGGCCTGCTGCTGACGGATTATCCTGATAATCGACTCTCTGCTATTATTTACCAAAAGCCTTTCCCTTTGTCCTGTTATCAGAATCCCCCTGCACTTCTCAGTCCCCAGTGACGAATCCATCTCCCGCCGTGGCTGGAATTTCCCCTGAACGTTCTTGTCCAGGAAGGCTTAGTTCCCTATCAAAAATACGTCTCTCTGCTCCTCAACACTGCGTCTTTTTAAAAATTTCCCCGAAGCTGTTTCTCACTGTCCTTTGCCTTCCTGACCAAGACGATGTCAGCGCGGGGTCCTGTCGTGGGTCACTGCTCAGAGGTGGAGCTTGACCCTGGGATGTCAGGAAGCCGCTCTGGGAAAAGCTGTGGCTGAAACTGCTGAGTCCAAAGTGGGTGTTTCCTTCCCAGTGGTTTCAGATGAGGACCTCTCACCCAGGGCTCTTTTGGAGCCTGGAAACCAAGCCTCAGGACAAAGGACTGCGGGAAGGAGGAGGCTGAGCCTGGGGAACCTGGTGGCTGACTTCGGGTGTCAGAAGGGCTTTTCTCCAGCACGCATTTCCCCAGAGGCTGGATTGGGGCCACTGAGCCAGTGTGACAGGGAAGTAGATTTCAGCTCAACAGGAGGAAGAGTCCCCTAAAAGCCAGGGCTCCCAGTGACATACTTGGAGCCTGGTGATTACTCAGCTTCTGGGTGCTGAGGGCTCCGAACGGCAGGCACACTTCTCCCACCGTGTCATGCCAGACAAAAACGGAATGGCCCATGTGTCCGTCAGCCGGTGGATGGACAAACAGCCTGACACAGCAGTACAGTGCAATCCACACCAGCACTGAGGGCAGCATTCTTACGCACGATGTCAACAGGAACGCGTCACAGAAACACCACGCGGGGTGGGAGAGGCTGGCACAGGAGGACTTGCTGTATGACGCCATCTAAATGAGTTCTAAAACAAGGAGAACCCGTTTATGCTTTTAAAAATTCTCAGCAGCGGCCATCTCTGGGGGATTGGGTGAAGTTGACTGGAGAAGGCAGAAGAGTTCTGGAGAGGATGGTCAAGTCCAGGGTCCTGATGGAGTCTGAGAAGCCCACCATCCCCTGGGCCTTGAGGGGGCCTGGGTGACCTGTGTTGATGGATTGGCAAACTTCATCAAATGATACCCTTGAGGTTTGTCTCATTTCACACGCAAAACAAATGCTGAACTCGAGTTAACGGCACGTTGCTGAACTGTGTGAATGAAGTGCGCGGTTGCTGCACCTTCTGCAGTGCATGTGAAATAAGATGTACGGACAGAGGCCGGCTCGGGGGTGAGTATCCGATCAAGCAGAGTGACTGCCATGCCAGG